TTTATAATGTCACCTCCACTGACCGTAAAGGTTCCCGAAAGGACCTCGAAAAGGCCCATGGACCGCCAGTTGATAATCACAGTCGTAGCTTGTTTTGCGGCTCCGGACACATTTTATTAGTGAGACAAGCAGCACAAATGGCTSTTTTTATTGTAAAGGTTGCAGACCTCTGCCTTAGATCATCAGGATAAATCATTCTGTGGCATCTAATCAGCTTTAGATCATCATTCAGATGGGGCACACTGGAAGAAATAAGGGGTTCAGAGTCTTGCCCAGACATGTGACTTCAGACTGCCAGGAATCAAACCTCTGACTCTCTTGCTGGAGGATGATTGCTCTGACCACTGACTCACAGCTTTCTTCAGAATCCTATAAAGCTTTAGGATGTAATGCTGGTGAAGATTCTCAGTTATCCATCCATCATGATCAATCAAAAACAATTTAAAAACAAAAACAACCGGACTTTCACTTCTGAAGTTAAAGACGTTTTCGCTTCCCATCCAGGAGGCTTTTTCTGTTGTAAGTTTGTAGTCAGCATCCCAGCTCACTGCAGACTTTGAACTGAAAAAGCTCCTGGATGGGAAGCGAAAACGTCTTTAACTTCYGAATTMYAAGTCCAGTTGTTTTTGTTTTTCACTTTTTTTMATATAGGATGTAATGTACAGAGTCAGTTAATAGGTATAAAATAGCAAAAATGGCAGAAATGGTGAGATCTTGTCTTTATAATGTCAGAAGAAACTGTTAATAAGGCAGTGAAGGTCRAGATGCTTCAGGACTTCTTCTGGAGTCTGCGTCTCGCTCCAGAGGCAGGTCTCAGACTCACCTCTCTTTCCACAGCCAGCTCTTCTGGGAGGACTCTGAGGTGTTCCCAGACCAGTTCAGAGACATAGTCCTTCCATGGTGTCCTGAGTCTTCCCCAGTGGTCTCCTTCGTGGTTGATATGTCCAGAACATCTCCCTGGGGAGGTGTCCAGGGGTCCTCCTTACCAGAGGAACCACCTCAGCTGGTTCCTGTGGATGTGGAGGAGCAGCTCTACTCTGAGTCTCTCCTGGAGAACTGAGCTCACCTGATCTCTAAGGGAGAGTCCAGCTACCCTGCTGAGAAAACTCATTTGGACCTCCTGGATCTGAGATCTGGTTGTCGGTCACTGGAGATCTGAAATAGATGTTGTTTCATCTGTTATATAAGACAATCATTATGATTATATGAGGATCAATCTAATATGATTCAGTTTCCACAGCTGCTCAGGATGTCCTCAGAAAGTACAGATGCTGTTTGTGTTCAGGATCAGATGTTAGGAGACCAAGAAAGTCCTCTCCAGGTCACGAGAACGGGTCTGTTGACATTCAGTGGACATAGGTCACTCTGTGGTCTGACGACGTGTTTAGTTGTGTCCATGTTGATTTTGCATCAGTCTGTCAGCTGCTGTACTTCCTCTCTGAACGCTGYCTCATCGTTTGTTCTCATCACAAAGAATCTGGCTCATTTCTCATTGATCTGATCAACAGATAATTTACTGAAAACATCTTTTTTTGTTTATAATAAATTTTCCAGCGTTAACTCTAATGTCTCTACAGGAGTAAGACGGCCATTCTCACAGACAGCCGGATCCGCATCATGAATGAAGTGGTTTCTGGGATCAGGATCATCAAGATGTACGCCTGGGAGAAACCCTTCGCTGCTCTGGTCTCTGAGGTCCGGAGGTAAAAACATCAGGGATTTAAACCCAGTTTCTTCATATTTCAGGTCTGTTTGTTCAGACAGATCAGAAACAATAAAGTAATAAATAAAAACATTGGGTTTAGGTAGTTATGGTCTCTTGGCAGGATCTAAAGACYCCATGTAGCACCTACCAAGATGGCGGCACAGCTCCTAGCTTTAGAATAGCCTGCTCTGTGTTTGGCCTTTCAAGTGTGTTTCTGTTTCAGACCAGTCATACTTTTTATTTTATTTTATTTTTCAGGAAGGAAATCTCCAAGATCATGAAGAGTTCCTACCTACGAGGTCTCAACATGGCCTCGTTCTTCTGCGCCAGCAAGATCATCCTCTTCGTCACCTTCACCCTCTACGTGCTGCTGGGAAACCGCATTTCAGCCAGCCGCGTGTTCGTGACCGTGTCGCTATACACGGCCGTGCGCCTCACTGTCACGCTCTTCTTCCCCGCCGCCATCGAGAAGCTGTTCGAGAGCCGCGTCAGCGTCCGGAGGATTCAGGTATGGAGTTCAGGATGTTCGACTCATTCTGTGTCAGAGTGAGTTGTAGGTGAAGCCCTGAAATCATGTGATTGTTGTAACTTTTAGTGGATTTATGAGGTTTATGAGGCTGTAAAATATTGTCCTGACTTTGTTGAACTGTCTGATAAAAGATATTGCCTTATCAAAGTTTAAACCTGTACAGGAAGTTCACCTGTGTAAAACAGCTTCTTACACACCAGGGGTCGGATTTATAAAAGTGGCGTACGCACAATATGAGCCCAGAAACTTGCGTACGCCACTTTTTATGCCAAGGTTGTGATTTATAAAATCCAAACTTGACGTGAAAATGTGCGGTCCCTCAGCCAGCTCTGACCCATGCGTACGCTCATTTTGGAGACGTGAAAC